ACTGTTCGCAAACAACGAGCTTTTTTGACAGCCCTGATTGCAGCGAATTTTAAAATGCTATAATTTTTAGCGCTGCAAAAATTTTTGGCGACGATTTTAAATGTTTTGACGAGTTTTTTTTTAATATTTTCAACGGTATTTTTTAAAAATACTTTTAAATAAGTCAATAAATATATTTTATTCAGAAAATTTGCCTAAAAATTTATTTTCTTAGTCTAATGGTGGGAAATAATTAGTTTCTCTGTGTCCACAAAATAAAATATTTGCCAATATTTAAAATATCCTAAAAGGTACAGTGAATAATCTCTTATTTTATGCTTCAAGTACTGGTTCTTAAAGATGGAGCATAAATCATTTTATTTTAATGGCTAACAGCTTTTTGCTTTTCAAACAGCTAATTTCAGGGCTGCCATGTGAATCAATGTGCTAAGCATCTGATTGTTTATATTAATTCTTAACAACGTATATGCAGCTGCTGCACGAATTTTCAAGCACATGAGATTTAGATTTATAAATTTCGTTGATCAAAATTGCATGCATATGCTGATGATTAACAGCTTTTTGCATGTTGTTCTAATTTTATTTCCTGTCGGTAGATGAGCACTCCTAAAATTACAAAGTAGTCCCCACCCATGTCATATATGAGCATGATGTCACCTCTTAAAAAAGTTCTTAAGAGAGATGGACAACCCAGGACTTGAATATTATTCTTCGGCCCTATAACTAACCGATGTGGGACTTTTCCCGATGCCCTCGTCACGGATCGACTCCTCCGAGGGTTCCACTGGACCATGGAGTCTATACACCTGACAGACAGTAATCTCCTCTGATACCACTTGTCATCTCTCAAAAGAGCCTTAAGAGAGGCGCGCAGCCTAGGGCTTAAATACTGTTATTCGGCCCTACATCCCGGGAGCTGAAGTTTTTCAATATAATATTGTTATCTAATTATATGTACAGAACTTAACCACATAGGCCATGGATATAAACAAATAACTAATATCTCTTTCCAGTAAATTTTAATCATGCAACTAATTTATTAAGCCTAAACTTTAAATGTGGCCTCGGTTATCTATCCTTTTCACATCCAAGCTCCCAGAAATGGGAAGCAATCAACATGAAGAATTTGGTGTAGGAGGTGGAAGATCAGCAAGCTCTTCTTCAAGGAAAACAAAGAAGAACAGCCAAGCAAAGCAGCCAAAGCTGCCACAAAGAGGACTGGGAGTTGCTCAGCTTGAAAAGATCAGAATTCAGAGTCAGATGATGGCTACTTATAATCTCCAATCACTTCATCATCCCTTTCATTCTAATCCAACCATGGTTTGTATACATCTCAGATGAACTGCCTCATCATCTATATCATTGAAATATAAATTAAATATGTATTATGATATATATTCAATAGGAGGAGCCTATAACTTCATCCTCACTTAATGGTGCAGCAAATTCAGTGTTCAGTGTTCATCCCAATTTCTTGGTTTTTTTCTATCTTAAATTAATCAATTTATAGTTTTTTATCAGCCTTTTTTTCTAATTTTTATTAAGTTGGGTTTATGTATGGTTTCAGATGAGCTGTGGAGAAAATATAGTTAGTGCAGATACAAGATTTGGAGGCATGCAGTCTAGTAAGGCTAGGTACATGGATTTACACCTTAGGCTTTATATTATTTACACTTATTGTCTGTATGGTTATATTTGTGTGCCAATATATACTTATGTTTGTATTTATTTGTTAGGTATTTAGTACCAGATCATGAGGTTAATAGTGTGCCACAGGGAGATCATCTTCAGCCTGTGACTCGCCCACTCATGATGGTAAGAATATAAAGTAGCTAATATATATAGCTAATGCTTAGAATTTCATTAGGGAATTGCAATCACATTTTAGGATAATTTGCTGAGGTTAAAGGCTTGATAAGTAAATTTGCAAGGAATCTTCATATACTTTTTTTTTAAATCATTTTTGTGCAATTAATTTTCATTAAATAAAATGAGAATTGCAAAAATAAATCTAACTGTTCAAGTATATACTCTGTAGGAATCAAATCATTTGTACTTTAAAGAAAAGGAAATGAGAGAGGTTACATGAGTATAAAAAATGAAGCAAGTAAAGCATAATTTTATAGAAGAAAATCAAGGAAAAATGGAATTAGTGGTGCAATTATCTACTAGGTGTAGTGGGAGAGGCAACTAGCTAGCATTATTACTTGACACTAATGTGGTCATTTTAAGCAAATGTTTTGATAATGCATTTTAAAGGCTAGATTTTATGAATAGTTGATGAAGCTTCACATATTTTTTGAGAG